CGTCAGCCAAAGCATGCCTAGAAGGAGAAAGCAGAGGAAAAGTTACACGTTTCTAATTCAGGCTACGGACAGAGCGGCGCGGCTGTGTTCTGTAAATTCAACCGGGCGAGGGAATCCTGGGAATGAAAACTACAGTATCTCATTACAGGAACAAGTATGCCCATTTCCTTAGCATGGCTTAAGGTAAGCCATTCTTTCCTAGAGATGGTTCCACTTTCCAGAAGAGTGGTGCCCTGGGCGGGGATCACTGGGTTAACTCACCTGGTCTGGGTAACTTGGAATGTTAGATCAGTGTTACTCACTGCTTGGAACTCGTAGACAAGGCTGGCTCCCTAGTAAGTCTCAGATCTGCCTGTCTGCACCTCCCCAGTGCAGGAATCACACCCGACTCTTACAGACTGAGCTGTCTCCCTAGTCCTAGGCCCCTTCATATGTATCCCTAACTCCCAGAACCGTGTCCACCGCACAGAGGCTATGCGAACTTGGACTTGGTGAATGAAGACAGGAACTCAGGGCAATGCCCGTGGGTGATTCAAGCAAAGGTAAGAGTGGAGTCAAGTGGTGGGAGCCGTTGTCTGTGGCAGCACTTAGGACATCCTTACTAGGGAGGCTGCCTGGGGACTCCAGACAGGAACTTTCTCGATGTTCCCAAGCATCGTGGGCCACACAGCAGTTCCTAAGCTGCCTTCTGCTGCTGTACAGTGTTACCTTTCCTAGTTCGCAGCTACATTTCTGTCCAGGGGTAAGGAAGCCTTCTGGGGCTCCAGGCACTGATACACTCAGGTTCCACATGAAGCACGTTAGTGTGGAGAGGAGAGGGTGCTCCTTTACTGTAGGTTCACAATTTACACGTGGGTGCTGAAAAAGCATTTTGAGAACACAGAGGCAACTCAAAACAAACCCCTGCCATCCAGCTAGCCAACTTCTCCCTCACCCTCTGCCCAAGCGGATTCCCACTCTCGCCATGCAGCTCCCCTTTTGTGCTTGGCACAAACCACTAACACTGCTCTAAGGCCACGTGGTATGTGAGGCTCCTTCGCAAGACTCGGTGCTCATGCTTCTGGGAACGAGATGCAAAGCCATAGGAAAATGTGCTTTGCATTCTGGTTTGATACTGAGATGGAGGTCTGGGATGCGAGATGCAGAAAACAGCATGCCCCTTGACTCCTCGGTGGCACAGGCTGTGGTTATAAGCAGATGGCCACAGTCATCTAGCCTTTGACCTTGACTTTATATATCAGCAGGGAGAAGGTGGGAGCAGGGGGGCCTAGGCTTCCAAACCACGCTGTGGGCACTGACAAAGGCCACCAGTAGCCAGGCCCCCAGCAGGCTGGACAGTGAAGGCACTTTGCAGGAGGTTCCTCAAATGGGAGCCAGTTGGTGGCCCTGTCCATTTGAGGCATAGCTAGAATAGAGTGGTCCCCAGCAAGGACTTCTGACCTGTGGCTTGCACATTTGCATTTAAAAGCCATGATGGAAATGTAATTTTCTTGGAAGGCAGGCTTATATTCAAAGCACACAGCCTTCTCAGCACAATGACAAAGACCTCAGCTGGAATGGGTTCTCCCAGGAGAAGTAGAGAAGGCTGCGTGAACGGTGGGCAGAGAGGTGAACGAAGTCAAACTTTCCTGCATAGGGGAAATCTTTGAAGTGTGTGGAGGCCTCGCCTAATCAAACTCACTCTGAGATGCTCCGAGCACTTCACTAAATCCCAGTGTAGCTAGTTTCCATTTAGGGTTGACTTGCTTTAAGGGAGTTTTGGGAACTGAATGGAACAGTTTTAATTGCCAACTTTCTTGACTGAAAGCAAATACGCTGGTCAGATATCCTGGAATCTAACAGGGAATTGACACTGTGTTACCCTCTAAAATACCAATGCACTTTATCATGGTCGAGAGAGGACCGTGGGTCCTGGAAGGTGGAAGAGATCTTCGACATAGGTGATTTTTTTGCTTCTCTTTTTACACTGAAGCAATTTCCTGTTTCTCCAGCAATATTGAGGCTGGAGGCCGTGGAGGGAAGAGCACGACATGGAAGATAAATTGTCATCTTTGTCACTCAAACTCCAGCTGGACAGAGAATGCATTTGCTGGTTGTTTTCTTCCAAACTCAGGCAGGGCCCAGTGACCCTGGAAGACACGGGAAGTTGCCGATGCTCGGGCCACACACTACTCCTCTGGTAAAGGGACCTTACCCAACAAGAAAAGGGACTCACACCTGGGGCAGAGACAGCAAAACCACCTTCCCTTGTGGTTCTTACTTCAGCTTGTCCACTGAGGCACAGGATTGGAGAGTCCCAGGAACAGCCCCCATCACAGGGAACCCTCTGCACTGCCAGCGGTGGCTCTGGAGTCCCGGCAGTCCAAGGACTCCAGATGAACCAGAAGCATTGGAGTTGGAATTGTTCAGATGTTTCCGTTGCTAGGTCCAGAGGGAGGGCTAGGACAGGGAAGGGCTCCTGGTCCTGTGCACCCCTGTGTTACAGCCTCAGGAGATGGGGGGAGCCTGAACACACAGAAGAGTTTGGAGGAGAGAGAGAGGTGGCGAGGAGAGAGGTGAAGGGGCTTTGGTAGGAGGGAAGGGGGCATCTAGAGCCTATGGATGAATTTCAACCCATTTACTCCAAATTTCAAGTCAGGACAGAAAGTCCAGACTCCTCATTTCCAACTCACTGAGCCTGAGTCAGTCGGCTGCTGCTGCCCTTTTGAACTGTTAGCTGCTCTACTCTTTACTTTCCATGAGTATGGAGCATTGTTTTTAGCCAGAGTTCCTGTTAGATAATGGGTTTATTGAACTTACTCCTCCGGGGCCTGCTCTCATGGCATGGAGGCGTTTGGCAAAGGCCATTATACCTTAGGCTGAAGCATGCCCCCACCCCCACTCTAAACCATGCGACTGCTTGTTCAAGACTAGGCCAAATACCACTTAGGACTGCTGTAGAGGGGTCTCATCAGCTGACTGGAGGCCATGCGCCACACATGGAGTTACTGAAGATCAGCACTTCTAAACCATCCCATGTTAAGTTTTCTGTAAGCACTGGCCTCTCAAAGTAGACTCATGCAGCTCTAGTCCAGCCATGGTCTGCAAGTTCACCAGGGATTTGCTGAGGGTGGTACCAGCTAAGCATCCTTCTAGGCACTTTATTCTCGACTTGACAAGCTAAACTACTGTAGTCTAAGATCTGTTCTACTTAACAGGAACTCCAGGAGCCTCATTGAAGTCACAACACTCTTTCCAAGCGGTTCAGGGTGTCCTAAGAGTTCAGGGTGGCCCAGCCACAGCTATGAAACCACACAGAGATGTCTGTAAAGATTTAGAAAAAGACCTCGGCCCACCCTCTAATGTCCTCTGAGTGCTACCTTTCCACCCATCACGCATATCGACAATAAGTTAACAGCTAGTGGTCCCGAGACAGCCCGACAAGCCGTGCCATCCACAGGCTTCCCTACCCAGCTTAGCTATCTGACTCCTCAGTGCGGCTTTCCCCTGCCAGCGACAAGACTGGCAACCTGGGGTGTGCCAAGTTCTTGGCTCCAAATTGTAAAACAAAACAGTATAGGAGGGAATTTGCAAGTTAGCTGATTTGCAAACACTACAGCAAGCCACTGTGTAAACATGTGGTGCTGTGTACCTACTGCTTCTCTCAGGCAGTTGTTACCTGGATGCCATCCTGACAGGATGGAAGTATGCTGCTTCTTGAGTTACACGGGCTTCCGTCCGTCACACTTCAATGAACCAGCTGACTGCGCATCATTAAAAGCGAAAACCAACCCACCCAGCCAACAGAAGAACCTGAAGCAAAAACCCTTCATTAAACAGCAATCACAGGGTTGCTCGGTAATTATGGAGGGAGACTCAGAATCAACATCAGGTCTCCAGGTGTTTCCCATCTGACGAGGCAATGCCACTCCGAAGCTGCCAACACAGGGACCTGGATAAACAAGAAGCCGTACACACTCAGGGGTGTTCACCCCGACTTTCTCTAGAGGAACAGTAGTTGGGCACGTGGGTAATCTTTCAATGTTCCTGACTCCAAATACCACTTTCCTGAAGTCACACAAACCCACATTTACTGGGCCTCACAAAATGTGGTAAATGCTCCAACTCTTTATGTGCTTGAACACTGGGTCCCACCGGTCCCTTTCCACATCAAGAGAGGCAGATGTAGAGGGGAGGCAAGGTCCTCCCACAGTTGGCAGGCAGAAGAGCTGGAAGCCAAACTCAGGTGTACCTTACTATAGTCTATTTTTTCTTAAGGATTTAAATTTTATTTATGTATGTGTGCATCTGTGGGTATGTAGGTTTGTGAACTTGGGGGCAAGAGGGCATCGGATGCTCTGGAAAGAGTTACAGGCAGTTGTGAGGCATCAGATAGGATGTTGGGAACTGAACCCAGGTCTTTTACAAGAGTAATAGGCACCCTTAACCTCTGAGCCAGCTCTCTAGCCCCTGGGTATAAATTCTTAATCACTTGGTTAAACTCTCCACAAAACAAAAGTACATGGAAATTCTACATGACAAAAGATGACATCACAGAGCACAGTCATTTCCTCCTGTTTCCCAAGAGGGGCCACTTAGCTAACAGCTCCCTCAGATCCTAGGATGAAGCTCCAATCCTCCTGGAATATGCAGTTACCATCAGGAAGTTTCAATGAATTGTGAAACTCTAGTGGTTGGTTACTGTTTAAGCATGTTCCTGGTTCCACAGGGTTGGAAGGCCCTTATGAAGGTTATCTACTGTTTCTGGCTCCAGGCAGAAAGACCTTATGTCATCCCCAAGAAAGGAAGGTTCATGCATTGGTAAAATCTTCCTGAATCCACCTACCTGAGGGGCAAGCTGCAAGCATAACCTGCCTGGGTGGGTCTGCAACTAGCTTTGGGAATGCATGGAGAGCTGTGGTGCAAATGCAAATGAATAGCAACGCAAGGCAGTGCAATTCACCACCCAAACCTTCTACTCCAGCCAAAGAACACACAAAGCCTTAGCTAAAATGCCAGTCTTTGTCAGAAAATAGATTTATTATTGATAGTGAGTGAAGTTGTCAGTATTCACTACAGAGGTTGCATAAGCCAAGGTTCGCTTTATATTGATAAAAATGCCTTATTTCACTTGCAATCATAAACATTATTCCAGTGAAAGAGGTACATTTTCTCTCCTTTCTTTCTTGCATGATCACCATAATAAGTTACAATGAAATAGCTCCTATATAATGAGAGAAGCGTACACGCGGGCCCCATGGCCTAGGTGAGTGTACACTGTTGCCCCAGCCCAGTGCTTCTTGCTGTCTCTCCATCTGAAATAGCTGAACACCCCCCCACCCCCAGCTTTCTCAGAGTGGAGGTCACTAAATGGTGGAGCCTGGAGTGAAGAGAACATTTTATGTCAGTGGAAGTTGGAAACAGAGTACAAAAAGGTGCAGTGGACCGCCTTTCTCTTTATTCATTTGGGGCTTTCATTAACACTTAACAGTGTTCTTTGATGACTGATCCTGATCTAGACCTCGGCTTCTGATACTGTTGATCAAAACACGTTATGATTCTGTCGAGTCCATTTTCCAATGCCTGTCTGTCTTTAGTGGTCTTCTCTTTAATTGGGGGCATTTTCTTAATAGGAAAAGAAAAATGTTCCACCTCTGGAATTAACGTTGAAGGAGCTTTGCATGTTCTCGGGGGTAACTTTATCCTCCCTTCTCCAGCATGCTCTGCAAAAGAAACAGAAAGTCTAAGTTTTACCAGCAGGAGGCAAGGGCAAACAAATGGCAGTAACTATTTAGGATGATTACAGTGCTTTTCAAATACTGGCTTCCAAACTATGAAACAAAGCACATGCTTTCTCATCTCAAAATACCACTGCCTCTGAGGAACACCCTGCTTCATCAATTCCAATCTCCAAATGACCCACCACCAGCATCTGGGAAGAACAGCCCAGAGAAGAACATGGTCTGGAGGATGGTGGGGAGGAGCTGTGGGTCAGCTCCATTACCACAGACATCTGGAAACAGGGCTACAAGTGACAGGAAAAATTGCTGAGGCAGTCAGTGTGGAGTTGGTGAGGCACAGTCCAGCAGTGACACCCAACAGCTCTTGAGGAAGAATCTCATCTGCGAACCAAGCCCAAGCTCAGAGACCACCTGGCTCTGGGTAGAATACAGATGTCCACATATACGCGCAACACCCAGTAGCACTACAGGCAGGTCTCCTCCCAAACTGTGCAAGTGCTCTCTTTACTTTCCAAGTAATGGGAACGAGGACCGTAGACAAGAACCATCAACAGAAACTGCAGCCAGCTGGGCAGGAGGTACACGTCCCCCATTCTTATAGAACCTTAAGAATGAAAAGGCAGTCATCTCCCTTTGAGTTTTAAAACCCACCCAGAAGGAGGGCAGGTGAGGCCGGCAGCTGCCTCTGCATCCTGTCCTCATGCTCCCATGTCCCTGCACCTGACACCAGCTCAGCTACTGAGTCCTCACTGCATTTAGTTAAGAGCTAAGGAAAAGTTAAGACACGTACCCCTGGGAAATGAAAGACTAAACATAGTAATAATTTGCCACTTTTTACTTATTTGCTAAATATATGCTAAGGTTTATTACGTAAAACACATGTACATGGTAAAAAACAAACAAACAAACAAACAAACAACCAAAAACTCGCCCAGGAAGAAAGCACACATGTGAAGAAGGTTTTTGTTCAGACTGCATTCAGGGAAGGTAAGAAAGAGTTCAAAAGTTCTGCCTGGCATGGAGGGCATTTCTCTATGGTTACAACGAAGGAGGGCGTTGCACCCTATGTCTTACGATAGTCGGAATACGACAGAAAGCCTGGGCTGTGGGTGGGGCGGGGATGTGTGTGTGCAGCAGTGGACAGTGAGGAGCCAGGCAGGGGAAGCACGGACACGAGGTGGACAAGCTTCCTGCTGGCCACTGGAAACACACAGGTATCCAACCAGTGCTATGTAAATAGGAGAATTGCAGCCATGAAACTGAGCCTGACATCCTTGGCACAGTGAACTCAACGGAGGGGAGCATGGAGGTAGAAGACCCAGCAGACTGGACTAGAAACCAAGCAAGGGTGTAAGAAGGAAAACACAGGCACAAGAAGCCCAGAGAAGAAGAGGACAGCGAGAAGAGGTTCAGGTGAACCCTTAGTGATGGGGTGTGAGAGGGGACACTCGGGGAACAAAAAAGCAAAAGATAAATTTAGTTTTGAGTTTGTGGACTGATTTTCAATGAAGCATCCCTACAGGACTCTTCGGAAAGAAGTTACAGTTTGAGGAAGAAGGGTCAAATGATTTAAGACAAAGAGGATGGGGGGGGCAGGAGGTACAAAAAATGGAGGACAAAGAGTGGAAGAACAAACAGGGGATTTGAGCCCGAGAAACACAGGGTGGACAGTTATCTCATTCTAGGGTCTGTGATTATATGTCCCTACGTGGTCTGGGGACATGGGGCACTAAAGAATAGACTCAAAGGCAGGCAAACTAGTGAGTCAAACAGGAAGTTAGAAAAGCACAAGTCCAGAAAAAATGAAGGACAAAGCAGAGGAAGCAAAAGCTCCACACGGTGGAGGGGTCAGGAGAGTGCACACTGCACACAGTAGAGGGGTCAGGAGAGTGCACACTGCACACAGTGGAGGGGCGAGGAGAATGCACACTGCACACGGTGGAGGGATCAGGAGAACACACACTGCACACGGTGGAGGGATCAGGAGAGTGCACACTGCACACAGTAGAGGGGTCAGGAGAGTGCACACTGCACACAGTGGAGGGGTCAGGAGAACGCACACTGCACACGGTGGAGGGATCAGGAGAGTGCACACTGCACACAGTAGAGGGGTCAGGAGAGTGCACACTGCACACGGTGGAGGGATCAGGAGAAGGCACACTGCACACGGTGGAGGGGCCAGGAGAACGCACACTGCACATGAGTGCATTGCTACCAGCACTGGGTTTGTGGGCAAAATAAAACATCTAACTGTGCAAGTTAGACCCTGTCTGCCACTGTCACAGTGTCATAGCATTTCTTCTAGGCTCACCTCTTTTTGACTTGATCTGTCTAAGTCTCCAATTACACAGGTGGATAATCTGTAAATACCCAATATGCAGACAACCTCACTGCCCAGTTCTTTACTACATGCACTATGGAAGCCAGTCTGAAGCAGATCTATTTGAGCCCATTTAGGGCTTCTGGCTACTGGAGAGAGTGCCTCCTTTGAGTGATACTCTATGGCCGCTCTGCATTGGGGGTCATGGGCCTCACATATAAGGTCATGGGAACCTTAAGCACTGTGGCATCTGCCAGGTCTGGATCACATGGCTCTGTCTCTCCCTATACAGCCGGGTGACAGTATGTCTCTTTTCAGTGTTGTGACATAATCTGCAGCTAGAGCAACACAATGAAAGCCATAGTTAAAGGGTTCTCTGAGGGCTTAGAGATTGTTTTAGCCATTCTTTTCAACCCTGAGCAATTACAGATGAGTAATTTTCAGTCAAATGCTAGCAATGGTAGACTTTCCAGAAGAAAGACAAGCTGGGCCCTGGCCTGAATGGGGATCAGAACCCATTAGAAGACAGGACCACAGATGCATAGTACACTGTACTCACACTTACCATATACCTTGCCACACGCATTAAACTCCAATCCCTCAGAGACAGCACAATGGCTCAGTGGAAAGCTGAGGGGCTGGTCTATATACCTGCTGTCACAATGCACTTAGCTGCTACCAAAGGGTGGCAGAGATGCTACGAAACGGCCCTACTGCTGTCAGAGACAGTAACAGATACAACAGCAAGTTGGGGTTTTAAAAAGATGAATAAACTGATAAACATTCTGTGTTATTACTATCACAGCTGTGCAAACGAGACCCGCTGAAGGCTAGAGTCAGGGCCATGGTTGGAGGCAGCCCCAGGACTGACAGGTCTACACTGCACCTCTCAGGCTGTCCCATCTCTGCATCTTCTGTATCTAGATGCTGTTGGGTTGGATTTCAACACTGCATAAATTAACACTGCATAAATTAACATAGGAAATTCCCTAAAGAATGGAGGGGAAGCTTTGCAAGTTATATTAAAAAAACCCGCTGCTTTCATTTAAGGAAATGCTAACACTTAATCTTAATGTGGAGAAAGAATTCCTCGCTGCTGCTCCCCATTCACATATCTGGGTCTGCAGAAACGCCTTTTGTAAATAGCTGCACAAATTACCAAAAGGAGTGAATGGCTCAGGCATCAACACTGCTCTTTTCCAAAATCTCTTTCGGTTCCAGCCACTGATGAGCTCACACTGTCAAACAGGAACAGTGCCCCTGGAGACCCAAGATGGTGTGTCGTTTCCACTTATTAAAACGATCTCAAGCGCTTTTCTCAAATATTTTTGTTACACAGTCGTCTAGTCAGCCAGTTTCTGGATCTCAGCTTTCTTGCAGAGGCTGACTACCCTAGCAATGAAAAGCCACTGGCTCTCTCAGTAGATTTAAAAGGACTTGAAAAGCAACCCTGTATTGCTAAGCAATCATTACAGAGAGAATGGGATTTTAAAAGAGACCACCCAGACTCTAGGTGTCTCTAGATGGGAGCTACCCGGAATCTCCCCAAGGTTTCAGATCCAGTAGGATTAGGTGTGGACGTAGGAAGGTTTTCATAATGGGGGTGGGGGGTGATGGTGGTGCTAACAGAGCAGCAGGTCCTGAGTTAGGCACAGCCTCAGTATGGAGTTTTCACTGAGGAAAGACAGGAAATGTAGGGGTGCAAAGGAACAGATCTGTGATGGGGAAAAACCAAAGAGGACCGTGGGTAAGGAAAGAAGAAAGAACACTATACATCCAGCTTCTGAGAAGCTAGTCGCCTGGGTGCTGTTCCTCACGATCTGGAAGTCTGATGAACTAACTAGTTTTGGTCTCAGTGTCTGTTCCTTCCAGTCAGGGTCGTGCTTTGTTCTTCCTGTTTTTGTAGAAGACACCAGTCAACTTTGCCTGGATCTTGTTCATATCATCCTTGTCTCTGTGTGACATTCAAATTAACTCACAAGTAATTAACTATTTATACAATTTGCCACAAAAGCAGACAAAACATTAACAGACTGTAGCTAAAACTCTTGGAAGATGAGCCCTAGGAATAAAATACCTATTAAGAAAAATGAAAATCTAGCACCATGGTAATATAGTAAATTCAATTTTTTTTTTTTTTAAAAAGAGAAAATGTCATAAAGCAATGTATTACCCTTGGAAATCAGATGAGAAATAGATTCCTAGGATGGACAGGGCTTGGGGGGCATGAACGTTTGGAACTCAGCTTGCTTGAACAGCTTCAGACCTGACAGGCAGCCACTCCGACAGCAGAGTGAGTGGGATCATCCTGTGTACAGCAGCCCAGCTCCAAGATTAACAAATGACACTAGGTGACGATACAGAATGCATGGAACAATAAAAACAAGGCTGCAAGGCTGACCTTGGTTTATCTTTGTGCCTTCTATTACACTAGATGGGCTCCTCATCCTGGAGGCAGGGAATCTGAGAACTGTCAGTGTGATGTTAGCCTAGAGATAGACTTGGTGCTCTTCTCTTGGTACCTGCTGTGAGTGCTAGGGTGACTCCTGGCCCAGGACCACCTGCAGCTTCAGAGGGCACGAGAGGGCAGAAGGCCAGCCCTTCCACTGGAGTGGCTTCTGCCTTCTTCCCATGTGCTTCAGAGACTAAGTTTAGATGTTTT